GTAAGTCAATACAGACTACGCGAATGAGTCACTCAAACATAAAATTGTCATAACTTTTAATAAAGCTAACTTATCAAAATCTTTTTGGGGTTTTGATCTACAAAATAGTACTATCGACCCAACCCGACCTCGTCCAGGTAATTTTTGTACTGTCGCAGTGTTGTGTTATTAATAATTATAATATTATTATCAAGGCGTGTCCGCAATAATAAAAAAATTGAAAATACTACTAAATATTTACAAGAACGAAACTTTCTGATTTAATTCCCTGAATACTTATTTATTTAATTTAATATATAAAAACTAAAAGGTCCCCTATGTGTGTATATATATATTTTATAAATATAAAATTGACCATGGTGCGCAATTGATAATTATCACCGAATGAAATAATGTATAAAACTTAAACCAAAGGAAACTTAAATATTAGTTAAAAAATCATGGGTACTTAAGAATCAGATTTAATTTAATAAGATAATTATTACCAAAAAAAGTTATATTTTTGAAGAAAAATGATTGCAGAATCGTATACAGAAGAAAAATCGAACAAAATTGATTTTTTTTCATTACAGCGCCATCTTATTACAAATATGAATTTTTTTTAGACAAAATCTACCTATTTTTAGTCGAATCTGCAATAAAAAATAGGGTGTTCCATTGGAAATTTTAAAGTTACCCCCTTTCCCCCTATAAGGAGGAGAGTATGAGAACCAATTTTAGTACTGATTGATTTCCCCCCTCCAATCATTTAATTTTTATTTTAAACATTTTTTCGTAAAATGCATACTAACTGAGATATTTCAAAGTTTCAAGTTAAATGACACCCTGTATATAAAGGGTGTATCAATAAGAGCGCAAGATTTCAAAGTTTAATAAAACATTGTTTTAAGTATTAAAGCATTGAAATATTTATTGATTTATAAAGTACACATTTGGAAATTATGTATAAAATAACACATCTGGTAAATGGCCACCACGGCTTAACTGGCACATGCGTATTCTTTTGGCAAAATTTGCAATAACATTATTGAATACATGTGGCGGTATTTCGTTGATAGAGCGTCTAATTTTTGCTTTTAAGGCTTAGAAGGGGGCGGGCTTGTTGGCATAAACTTTTGACTTCAAATAACCCCACAGCCAAAAGTCCAAGGGTGTTAAATAGTGGTGAAAATGGGCACCATCACTGAAAATGATTTTGTCCGCAAAATCGGCATTCACTTTGCTGCTTAAGGATCCAATTGGTGAACTCTCTTCGCTGTTCATGGTCTTTTGGCTAGAGTTGTTGAGTCAATTGGACTTTGTAGACATGAAGATGCAAATCTTTAGTAAGAATTCGCTGAAGAGTGGCTTTTGTAATGTCCAATTCTTGTGCACGATGGCGAATCGACGTCTCTGGACTCTCGGCCACACTCTCGCGAACTGCTGCGATATTTTGTTCTGAACGACCTCTACGAGCTCGTGTCGTGTGTTTCACATCACTAACCGAAGCAGTGCTTTCGAATTTTTTGATTATTCTTTTCACAGTAGATGAATTAGGAACATTATTTCGAAAAAATATTGGACGCCCTTTACGAATCGTGGCAATCAAACTTTCATCATTTTGATAATAGTGTTTAACAATCAGGACGGGTTGTTCTATCGTGTAATGCTCCATATTTACTAACTCCCATCTGTCTCATATCAATCTGTCTTGTCATTAATCATGTGACATCATCGTTGCCAAACTGAGGCGAAATTCAAATCTTGCGCTCTTATTGATACACCCTTTATATACAGGGTGTTATGTAATTAATGTTATATATTAAAATACTGAATACCTTTTGACATAAGGTGTAATGGAAAAATATTTTAAAAGATATTTTCCCAAAGATAAAGAAAATTTTTGTGCCACTGGTTACACACTTGTGTGTGTGTGAGTAATAGATACAAACCAACAAAGTTGCTGCGCGTTGCCAATTTTCTTGCATAAAACAAATAAAAACTCAATAAATACAAAAGTTTTATGCCCTTAAAGCTCTAATACCATTCTTTATTTATTTACTCATCCAGATATTAACTTAAGAAAAATTAGTACCTATTTAAAATCTCCATAAAATTAATTTTTTTATCGGTTTTTTTCTTTCTGTTTACTCAGATGAAATTAGGACAAGTTCACAGGTTAATCGTTAAACATTCAACTTGTGTAAATAAATCCAAACGCACAAATGCACTTCCCTTAGTTAAGATATTTACAATTTGAGCACACCTACAATTTTTTGACAGAATGTGTTACCAACCATAACATAATAAATTAAACCAGATTATCTTAATGTAAGTAAATCATTACAAATTATGAATAAAGTTTAAATCTGGTGTGTCTAAATTTAAATATATTTTTTATAAGTATGTTTTTAAATCACAATGTTAAAACGATTTTTAAAAAATCATTAGTTTACAAATTTTTACAAGTTCTAATTCACAGACCTGTGGTCTAATTAGTGATCTAGCGATTTCAGGTTTTTATTTTTGTTCAAGTTTTTTCAGGTTTTTATTCTTTTATAAATATTTTGAAAGTTTGAAAATTTGTATTTTATTAGTAATAATAAGAAGTAATTAGTGCGAAAGATTTTATGCTATGGCGGGTCGGGCGCTCACAAATATTCAATTAACAAATATGGTTTTGTGTTACGGGGAAGCGATGCAAAATGCTCGTCAAGCAAGAATTTTGTAGGTATATTCAAAATTATCACAACGCCAATGAAGGACATCCACCGCCCTCGGAGCAAAGTAAGTTTTGTACGTGCTGTGCAAAATTTAAGGGACCGCGGAAGATTTAGCGCATTTGCTGGTGATAGGGGTCGGGCTCAGGGACGTGAATTTGTGGCCCTTGAAGAGCAAATTTTGGACGAAGTGGAAGCAAATCCGAGAATTAGTACAAGACGATTAACTGCCCAACTTGGACAAATGTCCAACTTTGTTACGTGGCGCACGATTCACGAAAATAGTTTGTACCCCTATCACCTACAAAAAGTTCAAGCTCTTCAGGATGGAGATTATGCACTGCGGTTGGAATTTTGCCATTGGTATATACAGAAAAATCAAGAAGATGTTGATTTTTAATTTTACATTTGGCAACACTGCATTAAAAAGTAATAGGTAAGGTTAATTCGCGGTTCCTAGTCGATCAGTGGCGTACTTTTTGGTAGGATAAAGGTTGCAGGTGCTTCTTTAAGGACCCTAAGGAACTACCCATTTTAATATAAACCATTAATTACATAACACCCTGTATATATATTTTATTTTTATTTTAGCGAAATCGTTTAACATTAACACGTGCCGCATTGCACTTTAAATTTTCCTTGAAAAATAAGTTTTTTTACCGCCTTCCATTCACACTTAAAAGCATATTAATTTAAAATTAAATAATTTTTTTTAAATTAAATTAATTAAATAAACTTTGCACACTTTATAAGTGAGGTAAGGAGCATCAAAAATCATTTTTTCAAATTTTTGTTATCATACCTACACCGTTGAACGTATCTTTTTCAATATTCAAATACCCTTAAACTCTACCCACTCTCTGAGTAGGTATAAAAATTGGAAAAGCCTGTTTTTGATGCTTATCGTTTATAGAAACTGTTCAAATTTTTTTTATTATTATGCTTTCTTCTTTATTTTAATATTTTTTAAGAATATTTGTTTATTTTTGAAGGGTTACGATTTTTAAAAATAAAATGTGTTAATTAAAAGTTATGATGATTTAAACACTACTTTTCATATAGATCATTTTCTATAGAAAGTAAAGTCACAAATGTCAAAAAATGCACCTCTAAAATGTGATCTTACTGTGCTGTATATATTACACATCTAAAAAAGGTTGTTATAGAAACAAACTAAACAAGCAGCTATTTGAGCTTAACAGGGTTAACACATACCTACATCTGAAGGTTTCTGTCATAACATAAATTTAATTATTATAATAACAAATTTTAAGTTTTTATTTTTTGGTTATATATATAAATATTCTTAAAAAATATTAAAATGAAGAAAAAAGCACAGCAATAAAAAAGGGTTTTAATCACAACACAGCACCTAGAATGCTGCGGAGAATTTCAAAAAACACCCCCTTAAAGTTTATTCTGTATAATTCAAACTAATGTAAAATAGAAATGATACAAATCCCAAAATTTGTCAATAACAATGTTTATCATTTAGTAAATATTAATTATTAGATATGATTTTATTTAAACTTTAAAACAGGTCACAAAGTTGTTTGTTCAAAATTAATGATTAAAAAAATACAAAATTATTAAATAATTCCGATAAATGCAAAACTAAATTTATGTATATTGTATGTAAATTAGTACCCGCATCTTGTAATTTGCAAGTTAAATATTTTATACATAATATTTACAATTATATAGGTATGTACTTGAATGTTTCAAATACCAAATGTATAATTTTAAATTAACTGATAATGTATCAATAAAATGTTTATCTATTTCTTAATTCAAAAATGTTTGAATATGAACAATTTAAAATTTGTGTTATTTATACTTTGTAATAAAATCATTAAGGTAATTATAATTATCCAATTTTTACATTACTTACAATTTAAAAAAACTCACCTATTTGGAAGATATTGCAAAGACACTCGATGTAAATGTTTATAAACTTTTAATCCCAATCTTAAATAAAACCCAAAAAACTACCAAACAAAAACATGAAACTTAACTTAATGCTAGAAGTTTTTGTATTGAACAAATGTATTTAGTTAACTAGTAATCAGTTATTATCTTGAACATAAATATTCGTTTATTTATACACTGTTTAATTTTTATCAATTTAAAGTACTAACATTGTGTTATTATAACGTATATAAAATGTATTGGATTTATTTATAAACTCGCTTAATTAAATATTCAATTGCTTTGACTTGAATGTAAACATCGTGACGTGTCTTTCAACAATTTTTTCCCACATTTGTTGTTTTGTGTGTTTACAAAGGGAATTTCTTGCAGATTTGTTCACGGGACTTGCGATCCGGATGCCGATTTGTCTACGTACCATCAAAGGAAGGAAGCACATCCAGAATACGAATACGCCTGCACTATTTGCAAAAATTTGTCGCAACCAGGAAGAACCGTGGCAAAAAGGCAAAGTGAGTAGTCCCCTAATTTTGAGTTTTATCTTTAACCCAGTAACTATTTGAATTTGTCTAATAATTTAAATTCCATATTCTTCATTTATAACTTTATAGATATTTATAAATTTATTAGATAAAATGTATAAATGTTTGTAAATAATCGAAATAAAGAACATTAAAAAAAAATTGTTAAAGTAACTTAAATAATATTTATCATAGTTTATAGTCCAGTCAAAAAGTTCATTTACCAAAATAAAAAACCAAAAAGGTTTTAGTGCGTTCCATAAATGGTTTCATATATGGAACCCACTATAGTGGGTGTACCTACTCTTGAAACTTATAGGAACAATTCTTGTATTTTTAACTCAGCCCTAATATTTACCGATATATTTAACGGCATCCCTAACATGGGTTTTGAAGATAAAAAATCTTTTTTACTCTATATTTCTTAATATAATTATAATTAAAGGATTATTTATATTAAATTTTAAGAAATATTAAAGAACATTTTCATTTAAATATTTTTAAAATTTAGCTGTTGAGAGCTAGGCAGTATATCTCATGATATACGAGGTGTGTTCAGAAAATATCGGGAATTTTCGTTTTTTGAAAAAAATATTTATTTATTTGTCTACATTAATGTTGTCGCCTTCAAAATAGTCCCTATTGGACATTATGCACATGTGCCAGCTCTTCTTCCAATACTCAAAACACTTCCAAAACTCGATCTTTAGTTCTTTCCGCGATGCGCTTTTAATGTCATCTATGCTTGCAAAACGACGGCCCTTTAAGGTTCTCTTTATTTTTGGGAATAGGAAAAAGTCAGACAGAGGCATGTCTGGCGAATATGGAGGCTGGGGCATCATTACAGTATTGTTTTTGGCCAAAAATTTTGTTCAAAATTTAACAATTTTAGAACAAATTTTGCTGCCACGCGTTTCATACCCAAAACATTCGAAAATTTAATGGGATGAGCCAATCGATATACCAACATCATCAGCGACTTCTCTGATGGTTTATAACCATTTCTTCCACTTTTTCCATGTTTTTTCGGTTGTTAATGTGCTTGGGCGTTCGGGGCGTTCGTCCTCTTCAACGTCTTCACGGCCATCTTGGAAACTCTTATACCACTTGTAAACTCTTGTTTTACTTATAGCAGACTCACTATAGGCCTTTGTTAACATTTCACAAAATTTATTTCATTTTTTAAGCAAAATTGGATACAAATTTCTTTGATCCATTTCTTTTAACGAACGAAAATCGCCGAGCTCATAAAACACGTCTAACCTTAGCGGCTGCCACAGACAAAGTAAACGATGAAAACAGCTAAAGTTTTTATCATACTTCGGGGGCATGTATACCAATATAATAAAGAAAATTTTATGACAACCGGACCCTCCGAACCCGCGAAATTTAACAATTCCCGTTATTTTCTGAACACACCTTGTATATCTCTTCATCAAAAATTAAAACCCCAAATATTTACTGTAAGTAGTTGAAAATAGCCTGTGACTAAACGAGGGATTAAAAAAATTTTAGGCTATACATATATACTGACATAAAACTTTGAAAAAATATTCTTGACCTACCATTAAAAAAAATATTGTTTAAAAAAAGCGTACATATGTAGGTACTGGATAAAAAAAATAAAACATATATTTTTGAGAAAAAAATCATTTAAAATTGCTATACTGCCGTCCTAAGCCAAAAATTATTTTCTTAATTATGATAATTTAAATTATCTTATTTCTTAAATTAGAAGTGTATTAAAAAAAACAATAATTTAAAAAGAAAAAATGACATGTTTTAATTGTTATTTGTTAAAACTGTTTTGATGGTTTTTTTGCTTCAATGCTTTTGCTTAACGGTTAAAAAAACCAGCGACCACAAATTGGCAACAATTTTAATGTTGATTTCCAGGCGAACCGCTTTCGTAACGATGCTTTGGTAGACATTTTTATTTTAGCATATATAGAGTGCAAAAGTAAGAAGATGTTATGAATACCAGCGGATGTTTATTAATAGTATATTTTTATACGAGAGGCCATTATTCATGAGGATGAGGTTATGATTTAAATCATCCGAGTATAATGCATATAATCTCGAGTGTAATACTATACTTTTATCTACTGCAATAAGTAGATAATTAAATAAATAAAATCTGACATCTTTTAAATGGTTAACCTTACTTTTTACCAATTTTAAATGTTTTATAGTCGCCTTCTTCCAATTTAAAACCCGAATGGTTCAAATCACAGTAAATATTGAAATCGGCCAATCACTGTTGTTAGCCAGGGAATTTTATAATGTTTATCATTATTCACGGAAAAACCCAATATTATGCAACAGGAGTAGATAAAATCATACTGTTGTCCTATTTTTTGAGAACATTTGTTTTTTTCTTTACGTTATTATCTCTATTATTAACGACGATCCTCGCGAACCGCTTATTTGATGATTTTGATGATTTTTTTTTAACTGAACAGTTAAAAAAAAATCAACATTGGTTGACTCTTCAGTAACGATGCGGTAGTATACATTTCTATATTTTTATTTTGCATTCCGTATCAGCAACAACCGCGGATGTCAATTAAAATTTTGTAGCCATTCCTTTTTTTGAACATTTTGTTTTTTATTCGCGTTATTATTTCTGTTAATACACTATTTTAATATAATAATAATAATAATAATAATAATAATGTTTATTGTTTAAGGATCAATACACAATTGATATAAAACTCGTCAAAATAAAATACAAATATAAAAGTTTCTACAAATAGTAAAACTGGTTTGAAAAAAATTTTAAAATTAGTGACATATAGTAAAATCTAAATAATAAAAGAAAAAAGTCTGACATGGTATAAAATGTTTTTTCGGTTAAAAGTTTTATTAATTTAAGCTTTTTAAATCAAACGCATGTAAAAAACGGATTTCAGTTATTTTGAAATATGAAACAAAAAGTTTTTAAAGGTCCTCAAATGAGAAAATACCGTTTGCTGTGACGAATATTTATTGTATTGTGGCATTACTAATTAATCAATTAATAATTAATTATTGAAGATGAATAAAGTCGTTGACTTTAAAACTGTGTATATGTGTAGTTTTAATCCGATACGCCTAAAACTTTAGGAAAATATTCTTGACGTGTTGTACTATTAGATAAAAATAAATAAATAATTAATGTTTTGAGAAAAATAAAACGAACCTTCTGAGAGAAGTCATAGATTAATAACCCCTAGTTTCGAAAGGCTCTCCTAGAGTTTTACTCCAATTGACGTGACATGACATGTACTATTAGATAAAAAAAATAAAAAAAAGATTTATAAATTTTGAAGATTAATGGCATATTAATAGTAATAATAATTATGTACCTTACGACTGGACTATTAGTAAAATGTCTGATGCTTATATATTCCTATAGGTACCGAAGATCCTAATGAGTTGTCGGCTTCGCAAGAGTCCCTTTACGATGACATATCGGAATTCGACAGCGCATACGACGAGATACGTAGCATGGGTCTGGGCAAGGGCAAACCGTACAACGCCAGCAAAATAGCCAAGAAACGTCTTGGCTACGCGACAGGCATGCCTGGCAGGCCGAAAGGCGTAGGCAAAGGTCCGCCTGGATTCATGAAGAAAGCGCGACTCGCCGAGTTCGGCCGTAAACGCGGCCCGAAAGCGAAAATGCGGGGTGTGTTCGGCGTGCCGGGCGTCGGTCTCCAAAGACCCGTTTCCGATGGTAAGAACGACGAAGAACCTGGCGTAGAGAACCGGTTGGTTCTTTGTTCTGCAAAAGACAAATTCGTATTGACGCAAGATATTTGCGTTATGTGTGGGGCTTTGGGAACAGATCAAGAGGGCTGTCTTATTGCTTGTGTCCAATGCGGGCAATGCTACCACCCGTACTGCGTCAATGTTAAAGTTACTAAAGTAATACTGCAAAAGGGTTGGCGGTAAGTCTTAAAACCAACAAGATTTTATTATTTTTCTATTCTTGCATTTTTTTTAGATGTTTGGATTGTACAGTATGCGAAGGCTGCGGCCAGCGCAACGATGAAGGTCGCTTGATCCTTTGCGACGATTGTGATGTATCGTATCACATCTACTGTATGGATCCACCTTTAGATTACGTGCCTCATGGCAATTGGAAGTGCAAATGGTGCGCCGTGTGTCAATCGTGCGGTGCAACCGATCCCGGGTTTAATTGCACGTGGATGAACAGCTGCACTGAGTGCGGACCTTGCGCATCGCACGTCAACTGCCCCAGCTGCAATGAACCGTACTCCGAGGGCGAATTAATAATACAGGTAAGTTATTCTTAAGATCACATAGTGGGTATATTATTGACTGCAGTATTAAAAAGTATATAAAATTAATATCGAAAATATTCTTTTAATTGCAGCATTTTTTTGTCAAAGTTTAAGCTCTTAATATTAATACCCTGGCGAGCAAATAATGTACATTTAGAGATGTTTCTTTTTCATATTTTAGGTTTTTTTTTTTCAAGATTAGTCCCATTTGCCTAATTTTTTATTTTTCCAGTCCAGTTCATAGACTAAAATTACCAACTAATGACATTTAGCAAATGTAAATACAGTCGCGCTATGCACGCGCCACCACCACCGAATTGACCAATAAGGGGTGCGCTTTGATTTGGCCCTAAAAAAAGTAACTACCTATAATATTTTTGATTCGGCTTGATTTTCCAAAAAGCTACCAAAAGCCCTTTTTTCATGAGTTTTCAAATTCATGTAGAACATTTATTTAAATTTTTAAAACCCACCTTGAATTTTCTGTGCAATCTTTGGTTGCTGAGATATCGATGGTCAAAGACGAAATGATCCTTTTCCATTCAAAGTCCGATATCTCAGCGAAAAATGGTCGTATCAAAAGCAGCAATGAAGCAATGAATAAACAAGTTATCCGGTCCATATGGTGGTTAAGTCAGAACATTTTTTCCAAGTCCATGGACCAAGAAAGCCAAAAAAATTTCGATTTTTTTATTACGGGATTTGTTAGGATTGATCGTTGCATGTTGCTTTGAAAATTTTTTCATCTCAAACTTCAAGCTTCAAATTGCTTTTTTTTACGGCTCCAATTTTTAAGAAGATACAGCTATCCGAAAAATCGCTAAAAATTTGGATTTTTTTATCCTTTAATTTTTTTCATTAGTGTAGAAGTTTAAAATTTCATTTTGAAAAACTACTCAATCTTTTAAGATTGATGTTATTTTTTGACAGAATATGCTTTATTGTAGCGGATTTGAAAAAAACGAAAAAAACCGTTTTTTTCTAGTTTTTTTCTAGTTTTTTTTCATGTTTTTTTTTTCACATATGAAAAAAAACCGTTTTTTACATCTTTAGTCACATTAAAATTGTGATATATTTTTTAAATTCTCAATTTTAAGATTTTATTTTCCAATATTTAGTTAATAATCGCAAAGTATTTTGTAAGCTTTAATATTGAATATTTATTCAAAACACCTTATTTTGGCTTTTATGATTTATACTGGAAAAAAATAAAATTTACGTTTAAGTTATACTTTAAGTTTATAGGACGTTTTTTAAGGAACGTTTTATTTTCCTCAAATTATTAACAAAGTTTTTGAAATTCCTAAAGAATATTTGAGGAGCTATCTTTTAAAACGTAGTATTTTATTTAAATCAGTTAAAAACATTTTGGGAAAAAATATCTTTTAGCCTATTTACGTTTAAGCTCTTACTATTAAGAGGAAGATTCTCATCATTGCAATTTTCCATTTTGACATTATCATATGCAATAGGTCTCTTTTAAGGTGCTATAATAAGTTAAAAAAAGGAGTAGAAGATTTTTTGAATCACCCTAGTAAACAAATAATTTAAATACTGCGTTTTGAAAGATAGCTTCTTATATAAATATATTTAGATGTTTGCATTTAAATTTTAAATGTAAATTTATTTTGAAAATTCTTGATTGATGACATTTTTTTTAAGAAATTTCGAAAACTTTGTAGGAAATTAAAACGTTTACAAAATTAGTCCTATAAAATTTGAAGAGCTTAAACTTTGACAGCATTTTTTATTTCGTCATTGGGAACAATATTTTCGATATAAATTTTTGTCTAGTGTAGTAAGTGTCTAACATATATTTCTTCAGTGTGTTCAATGCGAGAGGTGGTTGCACGGCACATGCGACTACATAAAAACCGAAGAGGAAGCAGAAAAATGCGCGGAGGAAGGTTACAACTGTAACTTGTGCCGTCCTCGCGACATTCCACCTCCACATTTGGCGCCCTCTGCGATCGCCATTAAACCACCCACTCCCACAAAGAGCCCCACGGAATTGAGGTCGAATAACAATCATTACATCGATGGCGTTTGTTTAAGTGAATTTGGCCACCACCATATCAAGGCGCTGTCCATGGAGTATCATGGTGGCAGACGGAAGGGGCCCAAGAAAAAGTTGCCTACTGTGCAAGACAAGGAGGCTGGAATTATGGCAACCATTGAGTCAGTTGTTGCTGGTGGCAATGCAGGTGAGAATTGTTTAAAAATGTTGCTTGAATGATATTTTTGTAATTTTTGTGCATAGGTACACTTATTCTATACTTACCAGCAAACAAACATACATTTTTAACGGTTTGTGATGTTTTATTATTATGGTAATAACAATTATTTGATAATAAAAAAAATTTTGTTACAATTTAATAAACGTTGAATTACCCGAAAACGAGTGCACGAGGTGCATTTTTAATAACACTTGTTGATAAAATGAAATTTGGCCTTCATTTTCGAGATATTGTATTATATTTTTTTAAATCAAATACTTTATTTAAAGAAGTATAATTGGGCATGAATCCTAATTTAACCAAACAAAAATTAATTATACACATTAATAAAGCAATTCTCTTAAAAAAACAATTTTTAACGAAATAAAATCGCTTTTTGGCAAAAATTTAAGTTCAAAGTGCTGTTACGCTAACAATTTTGTCTGATTTGCAAAATTTACAAAATTGTGTAGCTACATTTATCTACTTTGTCAAAAACTTTTGTTAATTGACATTGTTACAGATCGAAAAAATCGAATTTTAATTATAATAAAAAAGAAATGTATTTTTTCAAATTGATTTTAAAAACCATTTTGTAAGAAATGTAGTTTTTCAAAAATAAATCACATTTTTGCGAAAATAAGTCATAAAAAATATTTGTCGCGTAGCATTGCGAAATCGAGGTTTACGAAAAATTTAAAAACGCATTAAAAAAACCTTGATCTTTTCCATTTAAAATACTTAGTAAATTAACGTTTTAACTTATTACTAACAAGTCTTAGTAAATACAGTTAAATAGAAAAAAAATGCATTTGTAATAAAAAGTTATAGAATTATTTTCGCAAAACGGTTATTAAACCCACGGGAAAAATCTATTTAATTAATTAATACTTAAAAGTCTTTCTTGACGCAGTAAAAAAAGGTAAGTATGGAAAGCTGATTTTGAGAAAAATGGATTTAAATTTTTATAAAGGTGTAAAAAATAGGTTTTGAACGTACACATTTTTAGTTGCAGTTTTTTATTCTGTCAGGTATTGGGAAAGATGATGGATATTAAAGAAAACGATAACTTTAAAAAAGATTTGTTTTAAAAAAACAAGACAGTAATTAAAAAAATATGACTTTAGGATTTTTGTTGTACGGCTACGATATATTTGTAATAAAATAGTTGAATTATTTCCGCAAAACGGTGCTTTTTGACCAGTGGACAACGCAATAATAGCAGCCGCTATTTCTGGATTAACAGCCATAATTTTTTGTAATAAACAGCACAGCTTAAAAAAAAAATTCGATTTTTCAAAAACAATAAAAACAAAGCATAGTTGGCCAACTATGCATTTATAAATGATAAAATAAGTGCATTAAGTACTTGATTTTTATTTAAAACCATTTTTTAAAAATAAATGTTAAACGTTAATTTTTTTTTGGAAAATGCTTAATGAAATTTAATGAAGCATCATATAGCGTTAAACAATTCAAATACTCAGTTTTTTGTGCCGGTGAGTGTAGGTATTTGAGTATACATATATTTATATTTATTTTTATTTTTAACAACCATAAATGTATATATTTATATATATTTCTAAGTTTTAAAAGTTTTGGTGTTTCATAAGTCAATCAATTAATACATACTCTCATAATGAGTCATAATATACCTATGAGATTACGTACTTTCTTTAATCTTTACATAAAAGTTTCAATGTTATAATGACATTACTTTTATATCTGCATGCTAAAATTAAAAAATAAATATCTGGTTGTTTTGTTTTTAGGTGTTTATAAACTCTTCTTTTTCTGATTGAAGGCTTTTTTGTTTTCCATTATTATATAAGATATTTTTATTTCCAAAAGTTCCTTGTGCCTTTCTTTGTGCTTTAGTCGGAAAATAAGCACATATGAAGCTCATTTATTAATGGGACCAAAAAGTGTTTTATTTTTAGTTTATTATTTTATGTTATTTAGCCTATTCTTGCATGTGTAGATCTCGTAACGTAGATCCAAATGCAAGAATTCCTGACTAATGTTTCTAGTAGATGTTTATTTCACAGACAATTCTCTGGAAGACGCAAAACTTGAACTGGTAGATGTGAAAGACGAACCACAGGAACTGTATAAAGAGGGCATGCTGTGGACAAAGGAGGATGGACCTCCACCAGAGGGTTTTACTGTTTTCACGATGGAGAGTGGCATGAGTGTGTTGCGAAGAAAACGGCAACGAAATCTTCAAAAACTTGGTATTGGAGGTTTCCTGGTAAGAATGAGGGGGACCAGAGGTGGTCAAGACAATGATGATATTGATATGTTGCCCGGTCAAACTACTCCCACGGGAGATTTGCCGGGTCCCCTTGCACCCGGTGACGACAAACCTAAACGAAAACCAATAAGGAGGAAAATTAAAAGCAAGTTGGCTGAAACGTTTCCTGCATACCTTCAGGAAGCTTTTTTTGGGAAAGACCTCATGGAGGTACCAGATTACAAAAAAGAAGTGGAAAGCGATGAAAGTGATGAAGAAAGATTGGATCACTTCAAGAGTATACAGCTGTCTCAGGTAATACATTACTTCCTACAATCGGCGATTTTATATTTATATGTAATTAATTGTTTTCAGGATGAACTTAAAGCAGTAGCAGCTGTAACACCGAAAACAGACAAATTGGAAATAAACGATTCCAAAGATTTCTTGGGCAAAATACACAACAAACTTTCTGTTCCAAAAGAGGAAGATGATGCGGATGATCTTAAAGACATGCTGGCCCTACCAAGCGATCTTTTAGATGATAATGATCTCGTCAACAGTATAATAAATGAGGATGATGATGATTTGGCTAAAACCACCGAATCGCTCGATGCTTTGGCCGATTCAAATTTACCCGAAGACGCCGATTTAGCAGATACATTAGGCAGCACGAGCAACTCGAAAGATACCAAAGATGAATTAAGTGATATATTGGGACCGCATTTTAATCTGGAGGCAATTCCCAATATGAATAGTAAAGATGTTGAAGACATCTTCAAGGGCGTTTTGACTGACGAATCTCAAGAGTCCCAAGAGAGCAACCTATTTCCAATACAATCGAATCCAGTTTTCCCGCCGACTCCAGCGCCTCAAAATCCAATGCCTAATCCGATTTCTATGTTGAACCCTGTCGTTCGGCCGACCACTTTGCCGAACGTAAATCAAAGTGCGCTGAACTCGCCTCACAGCTTTCCTCCACAATCGCCGTATCATTCTGAATATAGCAAGTAAGTAACAGCCTTAATTTATAGTGAACTTTAAGGGACATTCCAGGAAAAATGTGTACACTAGGGAGATTCATTTTTTGTCACTCCACAAGCAAAATTTTGATGTACATATCAAGAAAAAAATGCCCTTAAAGGTTCAGCCCTTAATCTTACTCTTAAGAACTTTTATTTTGAATTTAAAGTTTTTCCATTGAAATAAAATAGGATTTTTTTTTAATTTCCTATAGCTTGGCGGTATTTAACGCTCATAAATGCTCATAAGCGCTCATAATAAATGATGAAATATAAATTTTATAAAAAAGTATATTGAAAAAAAAATTCCAACTAAGGTTCATTTAAATAAATATATATTTATTGTAAAGTTTATATAAAAACACATTTACACATTTACTATACAGTACAAAAAATAATTTTTAGTTTTGGCGCCAAATTAAATTTCGACCACTTTGGTAAATGCTCGAGCATTTATTTATAAGCCCTCGAGCATTTATGAGCACTTATGAGCGCTTTTGAAAGTGCTCATCCTTCTCTAATTAGATGCTATTCAATTTTATTTAATTAATAGAAATAGTTTTTTTTATAAATATATGAAATATTGTTAGGAGAATTATTTTTTTAATAAAAAAACAGTATTTATTGTCTTTTACGGCAAAACGGTTAAAGTTAAAGGTAAAAACTAAAACTAAAAAGTAAATAAGATTTTAAAAGAAAATATAATATAATAATAGACATGACAAAGTATAAAAACAATACAAAAACGCACAATAGGTATCCCTAAACTTAGTGGCATAAATTTAGGAGCAGATTAAGCAAGTCAAAATAAGACGAAAATCTAAATAAATATTTTTCCTAATTACGTATGTTTAAAAGATACAGGGTGATAAAGTGTTACTTAAGTATCAGTTTTTTTAATATAACTTTTACTACAGTAGACTTGGAAAGGTGATATTTTGCGAACAGTCACTTACTAGCAAAACACATATTCACACATAATTACAATTGTTCGAGTGAACACAGTGTCGTAAAAACAGGGGTTGCTTAAGCTTATTGTCCCATACAAACTTTGAGGTTAGGTTTTTATACCATTTGATGCAATTTTTCGATTACTCAGTTCGGCTACTATTAAAAAGGTGTACCTCTCAAACTGCGATAAAATTAACCGTTTCCGAGATATTCGAGATTACAATAATTGTTATATCGCATTAAAGGACCAAAAGGTATATGTTAACAAATTTTTTAATTGAAAAACTACATTTTTTTTAATGTGACGGTCAGGGCAAAAAGTCCCGAGGCTCATGGAATGCCCTTTTTAAGGTGAATTTATGCTCACTAAAAATAAGAAATAAGAAATAAAAATAAAAAATAAGAAATAGGAAATAAGAAATAGTTTCATTTGTTGTCATTTATGTCGGAAAAAATAATAAAAATAAGAAAAATATGCAAAAGTGAGGTTAAAATTGATTGTTTGACAGTTCCCAAAGCGTTCGTTTCTGGTTTCTTTGGTTGGTTTGTTCTGTGGTAATCTTTAAAAAATGAGAATTAGAATTAAAAAAATGTTATTGCTTACAACAGCATTTTTACTGTGGCAAAAAAGAATTGTTCGTAAGAAACGGGCTGCGAGGCGGTACAGCATTCGACCGCTAAATCGTAATCGCAGGGTTACGGGAAATTTTTAAAGTAATTAAACAACACAACAATTAAGAATTAACTATTAAAATAACACAAAAACAATCCAAAAACACTAATTATTGTACAAACAGTAATTAAACAACACAACAATTATGAATTAACTATTGCACAAAAGTATTTGCGAATTTCCCGCGCGAAACAAAAACCTGTCAGCTGATGACGAAAATAAATCCTTTGCGCACAAAAATACGCAGAATAAGAATCTTAAGTTGAAAATTGCCAACTTTTATTTTTATTTCTTATTTTTTATTTCTTATTTTCGTGAGCATAAAGTGATGTTAGCAATTATAAACCTTTAACTTTTATTTTTATTTCTTATTTTTTATTTTTATTTCTTATTTCTTATTTTAAGTGAGCATAAATTCACCTTTAGTTTATTCAATTAAAAAATAAAATTGGTTATCATATACCTTTTAATCGTTTTAAATAATGCGAACAACTATTGTAATCTCGAATATCTCGGAAACTGTTTATTTTATCGAAGTTTGAGAGGTACACCTTTTTAATGGTAGCCGAACTGTTTAATCGAAAAATTGCATCAAATGTTACAAAAACCTAACCTCAAAGTTTGCATGGGACAATAAGCTTAAAGCAACCCACGTTTAACGACACTGTGTTCACTCAAACAATTGTAATTATGTGTGAATATGTGTTTTGGTAGTAAGTGACTGTTCGCAAAATATCACCTTTCCAAGTCTACCATAGTAGAAGTTATATTAAAAAACTTATATGATAAGTAACACTTTATCACCCTGTATCTTTTAAACATACGTAATTAGGAAAAATATTTATTTAGATTTTCGTCTTATTTTGACTTGCTTAATCTGCTCCTAAATTTATGCCACTAAGTTTAGGGACACCTTGTATATTTGTAAAACATCAGGGTATTTTACCCTGAATAAAACTAATTTGATGGGGCTTCACTTATTATTTATTACTTTTTAACTATATTTATTAAACTGCTATGATTCGACTTCTACAAATGTTCTGCGGACTCTGCGTTACCATTCGATTTCTAAGCTGTGCCAAGATTGTTTTGCTTAGTAGGCACACGTGCCTTTATTGGTCTACTGTCCTACTTTGGTAAAAAGGGGATTACCCTAACACGGCCATCCTGTTTTCGGAGCGTCCTCGCGCCGTTTTTCCTTTTCTTTTTTTTATTTCTGCAAAAAGAAAAACCGAAACAGATTTTTGTTTTTAAAGTTGAAATATATCTAAATTAAATCTAATTTAAAGTCGGATGGTATTGCCATCCTCAGTAGTGGGATTGCCACTTTCACCGAGGTGTTTAGTCACCTCCCAAGCATAGTAGGATTGCTACTATCTTGTTTTTTTTTTTTCTTTTTTTCTTTTTTTTTTGTCGGATGGGTTGCCATCCTCAACAGTGGGATTGCCACTTTCACCGAGGTGTTTAGTCACCTCCCAAGCATAGTAGGACTGCTACTATCTTGTCTTTTTTTTTTTGTCGGATGGGTTTGCCATCCTCAACAGTGGGATTGCCACTTTCACAGAGGTGTTTAGTCACCTCCCAAGCATAGTAGGATTGCTACTATCTTGTCTTTTTATTATTATTATTAAATACAATTAATTACAGGACTTACATTTTTTTTTATTCCTTTGGCCACGGCCTCAGCTGTTCAAGGGCAGCAACTGTGGTCCTCTGACCCTTCTTGTGTAGAACATATCTCTCATTTGGTAACACCTGTCGAACAGTATAAGGTCCTCTATATTTTGGTTTTAATTTGCCTCCACCAGCAATTTGTGAATCTTCAATGGCTACAACGTCACCAGGAATAAACAATTTTGTAGAGCATCGAGTAGCGTTAAATCGTAAAGATTGTTTGTTTGCATTAAAGTTCATTCGATTTCGAGCGTCTTCGACGGCCTTGTCTGCGTCGACAAAATTATCGCGCCCATCCAATAATAATGTCAATATCACTTGGAATTATTTCATCCAGCACAACAATAAAACAAATTTCTAAGGTCACGGTCGACAACACAGTTATTAGTTCACACATTCCTAGAGCATAAACAATTTGGTTCCAAAATCCTGTCAACGCGTGCACTTTTTCGTTCGGCTTAAAGATACCGTTCAATGTGTTTACAAGAGGGCGTTTGATAATTGACACATCGGCACCGCTATCAATAACATAACTACATGATACTGCATCGTCTTTACCGAGCACTGTTGCTATTGTTGTGTTTTTTACAATGCGCACAAGTAGGAACATTTGACAATTCGCTTTTATTGGCAGAAACAACTTCTTTTCGGGAGTTTTCTTTACGCACACTACGGCATGAGCTTTGCTGATGTCCTTGTTGACCGCACTTAAAAGAGGCTCCTTTAAAAACCTTTGTTTCTTTTTGTGCACAGAAACTTTTTGATTCCCGTTGATGTTTTCAGTTTCTTCCAAGCTTGTGTTCCATTATTCCAGAAGAACTGCTGATTCGGCGTGCATCGTATTCACTCAACAATTTCATTAGTTCGCGCTCTGTACTAGGCTTCTGAATTCTAATTGCTGATTGCGCCTCTGCATTATTTAAATTATATTCTACCATGCCCAGAATGGTATCCCATGGCAGTTCATCGTGAAATTTTTTTATTGCACGTATTTTTTTATTACCATAATCACACAATGATTCGCAATCACGACTTTTAAGAGTTGCTGCAGTATACGCTCGTGCTCCTGGTGTTTCTCGATCAGGAAATGCTACAGTTAGGTCATTACAAAAGTTTTCCCAAGTTCGGGAAATGGGTCTCCAATCACAAAAGTATTTGTATGCTCGACGTTTCAGTGCATCTCCTGCTTTTGCGATCATTACAATGTCACTTACATTTAGTTCCCTTTTAAGCTGGGTGACATCATCCAACCAATCTTTGATTGAATAGGCACTTTTATCGGGATCGTAGCTTGTGACATGGAAAGAGTACATATGTCTTGATGAAGACGCATGCGCATTTTCGTCAGATGAACTAGGTGTGGTCCTTGCCAGAGGTGCTTGGGACATTGCCATCTTGGTTTGATTTGCTAACTCAGCAAGTTGTTGCTGTTGCGTCACAACTAAATTTATTAAAGTTTCTTGCCACATTTTGACGCGTTTTGGGGTTGGAGGTTGTGAAATTTCTTCTGCATCTAAATCATCACCACATAAATTGTCATTTTCAACTCTAGATAACTCATCTGCCATCTTGATGCACTCACTCTTTGTCTGCTTTTGTTTATTATAAATTAACTTAATTTAACTTAACTAAACTAATTATTGTACATGGAAATCACTATCCCACTTCTGATGTAAAACATCAGGGTATTTTACCCTGAATAAAACTAATTTGATGGGGCTTCACTTATTATTTATTACTTTTTAACTATATTTATTAAACTGCTATGATTCGACTTCTACAAATGTTCTGCGGACTCTGCGTTACCATTCGATTTCTAAGCTGTGCCAAGATTGTTTTGCTTAGTAGGCACACGTGCCTTTATTGGTCTACTGTCCTACTTTGGTAAAAAGGGGATTACCCTAACATATTTATATTTATAATTTTTTGCATTAACCCATAAGATTTTTTTTAAATTTAATTTTCTATAAAAGTTTTTTTTACTCTTTATCTGTAACTTGAACCGTTTTGCTGTAATACAAACATAGGACTAATTTGTGACTAAAATTTATTAAATGCTCTATTAATTTTGAATTATCCATTATACATTTTCTTGCATTATTAAAAAGGACCTTTTTTATAGTAAATTAAATTTCCTAATAAAATCTTTATTTTTTTATTAAAAATATTATTTTCTGACGTATACAGGGTTAAATATATTAATTTTATTAAAATTGTTGCAATTACTTTAAAAAAGCACCCAATCATGAACAAATCGCACCTACGTAAATTGTAGTAACGTAAAATGTCGCCAAGCTATTTGAAAAAAGTCTTAATTTCCTATGATATTTCAACGAATCCCCCTGGTGTACACCTATTACGTAAAACGCCTAATACTTTCCAGGTATTACTTGTTATCACTTAATATTATCAAACATTACCTGATTTTACGTTAGGTTTGTACACCTATTACGCCCCTCTCTCTCTCTCTTTTAAAATTAAAACCCTTATTTAGCAGTCCGCAGTTTAGTCCTGCGTTCTCTGAACCACCACCCAGTCCATGGGTTGGAAGCGATAACTCGGAAATGGACTCTTCATCCGGACAGTCGACTTACAATCAGCGTTCTTCGGAAAAGATGAAGGCGGACGAAAGTTTGTGTGATAAGGCGACAATTTCTGCAGTTCTTTACGCGAATGTTAAACATCCTGAATGGAAATCTGAATATCCCATTTGGACTGATAGATACAAGCAGATACTGAAAAAGTGGAGGACACTGAGTCAGGATCAGAAAGCTCCATTCTTGCAACAAGCCAGGGACAATAGAAGTCAGCAGAGAATGAAAAAAACACAGCAGGTAGGATTTTGGTTTATTATCGTTTTAATAGAATTTTATTTTGACAGAAAAAAATCAACATTGATCAAATTTTATTAAAAAGTGACTAAACTACAATTGATGACTGTTAAAATATACCTCAAGCATAAATGTTTTATCTTTAAGTTTTATAGTCAAGTAGGCAGTTATTACAAGATTTTTTTTGTGAAACAATTTAAAGAAACCTTTTAAGACTGATGTGTTTTTGATTGTATAAATAAAATAAATTGCGAAACCTCAACAACTTGAAATAAAGCAAAATAAATTCCTGAAGAATGAAAATTAAAAATATTTATTTTTGATGTGAGTCAAACCACCTCAAACGTGTTATTTAATATTTAAAGCTGTCAAAACTGTAATTGGTGTAATTTTATTCAGAGTATATGTATGTTTCAAGTTTTAATGAAAAAAATAGTTGAGTGAAGGATTATATTGGCTGATTGGAGTTTATTTAGTTATTTATTAAATTATGGGACATGTTTCCATGACACTAAGTGACAATTGACAACTTGTGGCTTTATGGCGTTTTAGTCACGAGCTCAAGTTAGCTTTAAGTTAGTTGACAGTTGTAAAATGTCATACAATTGTTAAAATAAAGTGCCCTTGTTAAATACATAATACTAAATGTGAAAATTATTTTATTATCGCAATACAAAAATACAAAAGCATTAAATAGTTTCTCAACGCCAATATTTGAAAAGTTTTTATGAACATTGTAGTGACCTTTTAATTTCGCCGGAAGTAAACTGGATATAACTTAAATTCGAGCTCCGAAAAGTGGTCATAAAACAGTTTCTTTACATTCACTGTGAAAAACAGCCGATTTTCAAGGAATACATTTTGATTTATAACCTTTAAAACACATAAAAATTTGACATTTGACGGTACCTAACACAGATACTCTATTGTTTTATAGATGGCGCTCTATACAAATATTTGATTTAAACCATTTTAAGATAATAAGTATTTGTCGTAGAAAAAGTATAGTATGCAACTCGTTTATCAAACTTGATACATATTATACTATTTTTGCTTAGTTATTATCCACAGATTTTTATAATGGGGTAGTTAAATTTGTTCTTACCTATACTTTTTATGGTTTTATTCAAGGCGTTTTGTAATATTAAACATTTCTGTGAAATCAGAATTTCAATTGAGTTTACCGTTTTCGAGATATTTACAAAAAATATAAATTTTTATGACGTCACAAACCTCGCCATGTGACCAACATTCTAAGATTTCTATTGGTTGAAAATTACCCTGTTGTCAAGTTGTCTTGTTAATGATTTCATTCGGTTATGTCAGAAAATACCCGAAGAGGTTATGTACAAATACTGTCACTGTCAGTTGAGTGAAAGATGGTCACCAAATTCATTAAGTACCTATCTTCCTTATTACGAGGTATCATATTACTGTTTGATACCAAGATATATCTAAAAGAATATAAAGAACTAGGCATTATACTAATGAAATGCATTTACGACAAAATATGATTATAATTATAGGTATATTAATATCTCATGGCGGGTGACCTTGGGCGCGCAAACGTCACAAATCCGTCAAATCGCGCTATTACTCGCCGTCCTAAAAACATACTACACCAGGGTTGGCAATGCTAGCATCAGCTGATATTTATTGACATATTTAAACATATTTATAGGCTAGAAATTCTATTATATTTGTTATATCATATTTGTTATAATAGGTATTATATTAAATTTTGTTATAATATTATATTTGTTATATTTTTTTCTATTATTATATTTGTTATAATATATTAAATTTTGTTATAATATTATATTTCTTATACGAAATGAATAACGGCAAAAAAGAAGTCATTAATTCGGATTGTACACAGATTCTATTCTTTTTTTTACTGAAATCCATTATATATTTTACAGATCATTGCTCAACAATTGAAGACCTTGCTGCAAAAGGGGGTAACTTTTACAAAAGTAACTTTTACACCCTTACAACTGTGAACTAGACTATTCTGCATTGTTTAATGCAAAGATGACTCAAAAATAACTTTTATGGAGTTACCTCCTTTTTGCAGCAGGGTCTTCAATTGCAGTCATTATCTAATGTTACAATATATTTCATAAAATAAAGAAAAAAACGCTTTACTATATTAATTGACAGATGACAGATTTGGGAAGCATCCATAGACATTTAAGTTAACTTAAAGGTCTATGGAAGTGGCGGATGTTTTTAGTTTCCATTTATTTATTAAATTGAATGGCGTCTGTCAGCGTCTCTCAAGGTCACCCGCCATGAGATATTAATACTACTATACTTACTTTATTTGTTTAAAAGCTCCAATGTTCAATGTAACCAACCATTCCACAAGATTCTTCTGCTTTGGAGTCCGTTATTAATAAACCACTAATCTAATATCAATTACAAATAACATAACAATAACATTGATTTTCAATAATCTAAATTTAAAAAAAACAAAACCCGGAAAAAAGAAACGTCAAAAAATCAATTCTTCTTCTTCTTCTCAACAAAAATTATAGATCAAGTGGTTTTAAAACTAAAATATTATAACGTGGCGCCATCTATCGTAAGAATCTTAAACTAAACACACTGGCAACCATAGAAAAAGCTGGCAACGTTGTCAATAGCCTAGTGACGTAATTAGGAGATTTTTTTTTGTAAATATCTCGAAAACGGTAAACTCAATTGAAATTCCGATTTCACAGAAATGTTTAAAATTACAAAACGCCTTGAATAAAACCATAAAAAGTATAGGTCAGAAAAAATTTAACTACCCCATTATCGTTACTTACCAAATAAGTGTTTCGCCTTTTATTGTTTTTTTTTTTAAATTTTGGTCTCCCATTATTTTTTTGCTATTTGACTATTGAGACTGATATACATAGTTAACGGAGTATGTAATGGTATATATTGACAGTTATCGGGCATGCTCATATTGAGCCGGCTAACGGGTTGTCACTAACAAAAACACCAGAGCATTTAGTGTGTTACCGCGTATGCCCCCTTAAAAGGCATGCCTGCTTGCTCGAACCCCCTTCCCGTAGCCACATCAGTACGTTTATGTTTGTGTCACCCCTTCACTTTAGTCCCAATCATCGAAGGAGAGCGTCAGCACGGCAGTCGCCCAACCAGCAGTTGCGGCGGCCGCGAAGCAACAACCGCCCCATCAGCCGCCGACGATTTCCACCGTACTGGCCGCCGCCACCTCTATGCAGGCGTCGCTGCAATCATCAGTCTCAGAGGTGTGCACCACTCAGAAGCATTCGCCCACATTAACCACCGCTTCTACTAGCTCTGTGTCTGTTCGATCTCCACCCAAAATCGCCTCCGCTAACACCGTCACCTCTCCTTTAACGATCACCATAAAATCCTCTGCATCCCCCCCCACCCACCAACAGTTCACCGTGCACGGGAACTTTGCCGGGCCCGGCGACCACGTCGGTCCCGCTCCCAACGTTACCGTTAATCCGAACTATCATCCGTCGCCGGTTAACGGCAAAGAACAGCCGCCGCCCGCTTCCCCGTCCTTATTAAGCGCCGCGACGCAGGCGTCGGATCAGCAGATCCGAGTGCTAACACCCTCCGAAATCATGCGCACACTTCCCTCCTTATGTCAGGAAACTTACGAACCTACGCCACCGTCCATACCGGTGAGAACACAAAATAAGTGTGCATTCAATATCTTTCCGATATGTTTTTATTATTATACATACGTTATATAGATTGATAACACTAGTTTACAAAAATTTCCTACTTTAACCGGAACCTCTTTTTTTTAAGGTAAAATTTCGTGCTGATTCTGAAAAACACTGGTTTATCTGTTTCAAGATACGCATGAAATCTGAAAAAATGCACTGTTACAAAACAATACCATCACAAATATGCAGCTTAACATTTTATTTGATGTCAAAGCAATCCCAAATGAATAAATAATAAGGTTGTACTAAAAATGTTAAGGTTTAAAATTCATGAATCACATTAGTGGTTTGGTTACCATGATCAAAAATAAGTAAAAAGCAAATTTTTTACTCTGCAAATAAAAATTCAGCCCCTATGTTAATATTTTATGCATACTTGGGTCAATATCGGGTGAGATTTAGATTTTAAACGGTCAATTTAATAAAAAAAATGTAAAGTTTTATTATTCATTTTTTATTTTAATTTTTGTTGTTATTTAATGTTTATTTACATAAATCAAAGCTTTCGAGCCGTCAGGCGAGAAGTAAATCATCCGAGTGAATAATGCGTATTATCTCTAGTTCAATACTGGGCTTTTTTCCGCTCCAATGAAGTAATTTTCATTGATAACAAAATTTATTAAACCTTATTTTCTTCCGATTTTTATGATCATTATAGTCCTCGTATACATAAAAAAATCTGACATCTGTTAAAACGTTCCAACCTTTCTGTTTCCCAATTTAAAACCCGATTTGTTCATATCAACCATTATAACCGCCCCACCTAACAACAGGAATAATGAACTCATTATTCACGTTAGAGATCCGCCGATTTCAATATTAACTGTGATAATAAAATAAAAATTGACCGTATAATAGTATATTATTATACGAGAGATAATGCGCATCATTTCGAGTGTAATACTATGCTTTTTTTACTCCAATTAATTGATTTTCATTAGTAACAAAATGTATTATAACTTCACTTTCTCCCGCTTTTAATATTCATTATAGACGCCCTTAGTTTATATAAAAAATCCGTCATATGTTAAAAGTTCCAACCTCACTTGTTCCCAATTTAAAACCCTAATGGTTCAAATCACAGTGAATATTGAAATCAGCCAATCACTGATTCCTAACAACGTGAATAACGAGTTCATTATTCCCGTTGTTTGGTAGGGCGGTTATAATGTCACCATTATTTACGGAAACCCCCAAATAATGTCAATAGAAGTAGAAAAACTCCAAATCACATCATATATATATTTTGATTTAAGTGGACAAAATTCAGAAGAATAGATTTTTTTCTTACCTGTTTTTGGCCATGGCCCCCAAACCAATGACGTGATTTATAAATTTTACAACGGCGGGATTGATTTGACATCAAATACAATTTTAATCTGCATATTTTTTGAGATTTTATGCGTATCTCGAAGTATGGAGCTAAATCAGAAAAACCATTAAATTTAAAGCATGAAATTTTACCCTAGAAAAAGCGGTTCTGTTTAAACAAGGAACAACTTTGTCAAATTTTGTGACCTAGTGTAATTATTACTTCCGTTTTATATTCCTTTATTTTTTATAAGTGTGCTTTTTGAATGTTTTCATACATTATTATTGATTACCCTACAAATAAATGCAATTTTTTAACAATTTATTACAGTTTGGCTTACATAAAAACTAATAGTCTATAAACTACTTCCACGATTTAAAAGTTTTAAAAATAATTTTATGTACCCACGTTGTTTTATTATTTAAATAATTTAGTGTTTATATTTAGCAGATAATCTGTTTTCTTTTAACAATTTCAACCTTTAGTTGCCCAATTTTATATTAGATATCTAGATTCCAATGAAATTAATTCTGAAAATGATTGCATTTATTTTAGTAAGGTATCTTTTTGTTTAGCATGTACCGTATTTAGGTTCGAGTTAAAACTTTAAATTATTCGTGATTTCAATTTAAATTCCATAAATTCAATCCATGTCCCAAAATGATCCCATTCGCGTCAGATATCAGAGCTATTATGCTACTAACTTGTGTATATTAACAATGTACAGTTTTGATCTGACTAACTTAGTTTAGGGTTTTTGGTATAATAAACATTTATTTAATATTAAAATGACAAATAACTTTGATTTATAAATTTCTGTTTTGGATACAGAGTTTAGCACTAACTATAAGCTTATTATTTTTAGCACTACACTAATATTAATCATGAATAATTACGTTTTTGTATAATTTCTGTTTTCAGCATGGCCTTTGATTAGTTTTTTTCAGGTTTAGGTTTTCTTATTTGTAAAGGAATGACAAGTTTACGTTTTAGGGTGAATGTAGTATTAATGGTTTTAATTGAATGTATTTATTATAGAATGGTGAATTAATTAAGATTATAATATAACAGGTTTATCTTATCACCTAATTGTGTTGCTCAATTTATTTGGGCTCATATTTTTTTATAAACATACTTTTTATTATTTAATAATAAAAGCTGCAGTCAATAAGTTTGGTACTTAATGTACAAAAATAATTTGTATTATAGGTACTAAAAAACATTGTTATTTGATATACAGTAATTAGTGAATAAAATATACTTCCATGTGATGAAGAATTTTATTAAATTAATTAACATTTTTATTCAATTAAAAATTTACATCAGTTTTACAAAATGTGATCCATGTACCTTAATACATTTGCTAAGCCCATGTGCGTGTCAGACCCGCTTTCAGCATGTCTTCGGAATTGTATGGGCTTCTTAAAACATTTGACCACACTCAATAGTCAATAGGCGACTTTAAAGGCCAAAAATCTTTTCCTCAAAACCAGAAATCAATCGTTAATTGGGCTATATGTAACGGAGCCGAGTCTTGCTGAATAATAAAAACGCCTTGACTCAAATTATTCTATCAATTACACTCAGTATTTGTAAGTAAAATATTTGAGAATTACTTTTTAGTCATTAAGTTAGTTTTAACGAGGTATATTTAATTAATACATAATAAAAAATATGAAGCAACACAATTGGGCGATTTGGATGACAGTATTAAATTTAAATATTATATGAATTTAATTGTTATGATCTTACTGAATTCTTAGTAGGACTAACAGTATATTATTTGTCTACTTTTTTTTTTAAACAAAATAACATTTTAGGACCAGGAAAAAATTGTATCTCAGCAAAAAACTGCTAGAGAAGCAGAACAGGAAAGGCAATGGAAACAATTGCAAGCATTAAGGCAACAACAGGCTCAGCAACAACAAAATGTCATACATGAGCAAAGAGTACAAGGTAAAACAAGGTTGCGACTTTTGATTTCGCTTCATCTAAAATTGTTAAATACTTTTTAGCCATAGCCCGCGTTCAAAGACATATAGTCGATCCTAATCAAGGTTTGTTCTCAGAACAACCCAGTCCGTTGCAAGGCAACACTCCTCAAGAACTGAGCCCTGTGGCATCGCCGTCTTCTAGGCAGTTCTTAAACATGGGTATTAAATCGCCAACGTTCGTATTACCCCCTGGAGGTGTTCGTACCCCTACGCCTCAATCGCCCCTCGATTTTCAAGTCCCGCCAACCCCAGATATCGACCCCTATGCCCAGCAACCGGGAACACCTAAACCAGGCTTCCAGCCCAGGATGGCAGTTGATCCTTATGCCCAACAGCCTGGGACGCCTAGGCCGCAATTTGCTGCTCCTAGACCTCAAGTACAGGTACAGTTTTCATCTTGACTTTGTATTGTTTTATGTACGATTTATTTATTTTAGGGATACGCAAATGCATCCCGTCCAGAACCAGACATTAATCGACAGTTACGCGATTTGTTACAGCGTCAGCAATTTAAAAAGCTTGACGAGCAATTGCTACCCGGAAAGACACAACAGCGCATTTGGCCACCAACTGAAGGACAAGAAGTTAATGAGGCACCTGTTAGCGTGGCTACAACAGATCAAACTTTCAGGCAGCCTCTACCACCAAGCATAGCCAGACCAAGAGGTCCTGTACCTATTCAAAATGTAGTGAGGGGAGGAATGGTTGGTATGAGGATGCCACAATTAGATCCTAGAATGCAGGGTGCCGATAATAGGATGCGACTTCTTCTACAACAAGTATGATATAAATAATAATAATATTTTATAACACTGGTCAACAGCCATTTTGATTTAGAATACTAATTTTAAAAATATGACCATCATTTTGCTCAATCGGCTACAAAAATATAAATGCGAATTTAAATGCTTGCAATATTTTTGAAATACTGCGAAAACAATATCTTAATGAGTAAAATTATGATTATTTTTTGATTCAGCGCACCGCTGCAGCAAACCAAAAAAAATTGTTTCTCCTGTGTAACTTTTGGAGTTATATACGTTCTGCTGGTTCAAAAAAAAATTGCACGTTTTCAAAGTATATACTATATCAAGAATATTTCCCCAAAATTTCATTCAGATTGAAGCACTGGATGAAGAATGAATTAAAACATAAAACGCGAATCTTATTTTCGAAATTGTAACATAATTTTGTTTTACAAACGCATCAAAACATATACAGTTCATTTTTTTTAATTTGGACTCGTGTTGTTTTTATTATGTTGGTAGCTTATGCCAGTTTGATTTGGTATTTTTAGTATTTAAAAAATGGTACTTCTGCTGAAGACCTTAATTAAATACTCTGACACTGTCAAATTGACAGTAATATTTATTATTTATTTGTTTACTTGTTAATTATTATATAATATCAATATAAAAAGATAACTGTCCCAAAAATAATATCAGATTCTGAAGTAAAAGAACTTTTAAGGCAAAACTTCATTTCAATGAAGTTATTCCAAATGCCTCAATGGCAGAAAAAATACATCGCCTTATGGACATTTTTGGAGTAAAATATTAAATTACACATTATTTTCAGCTAAGCAGATCAAACATTTTTAAAATAAGGGGGAAATAAAAAAACAAAAAATGTTAGGTTCAACCTTTTTGTGAAAAATCTTGTACTTAATTTTCCTGTTTTTGAAAATAGCATCCATTTGGTTTGAAAAAGATAAACAATAATCACGAAATTTTTCTTCTTTCAATTTGCAACTTACTAATCATTAATAGTCCTGGATAATATATACATTATAATTATTATTAAGCCACTATTATTAACGTGATGATTGGATAACATTCACGTGTTCACATAAAATTTTAATTTCTTTTATATAAATTCTTTTCAAAGCAAAGATTATCCGCTGGGTTGGGTTGTTGGGTTTGGGTTGGTTTTGAAGCGGGCGGACTCGGGACGTTGGTTAAGGAAGATCTGCTTCCCGTCCTAAGATTGCGTCATTTGATGACGTCACTCTGTTAACGGGAGCGCAATAGAGAACCGTCTGACGGGACTCTAGACGCGGCGTTATATGTATATTATAGCTTTTGTGGGTTATAAAATAACCTTAAATTAACCTTCAAATGGACATTTGACAGCCCTGATAGAATAAGGTTTATTTTTTACAATTGTTCTTACCACTTTGAGGTCTCTTTTAAGGCTTGCAAGTCTCTCTGTAAGAAACACAACGTTTAAAACGATTATTAATCTGTTCAAACCCAAAGCACAAGAATTGTAAACAACAACAAAAATGGCCGCCATCGTATGATGTGCAGTGTTGTAGTGATTTTTAGTATTTTTACTTCGAGATCGAACAGACCTTGTTGTGTGGATTGTGATAATTACATTTAAAACTAGTTTAGTTTGTTTTAATCAATGCAACCAACTTTGCTTCCGTATTTACCAACCAAGCCCATAATTTGCAACGTTGCCGCAGTCCAGATAAAAAGATTAACTAGTTTGTTTAAATAATATTATGATTACATACCTGAAAAAAACATTAAAAACCTCCGATTCTCCGGGGGAAATCAGGAATTGCGATAAAAAATATTAACTGCTATTGATTCAATTCGAATATCCAAAGAAATAAACAAATAAGTCATTTCAAAAAATGTTTTTGAAATTGTATCGCAACCAACAAAAGAATGCCCCTTGATAATATTCTTTTTAGCAACAACAACGCTTGATGAATCCAAATGCAATTGGTTTGCAGCAAGCTCCGCAGCAATTTATACAAAATGCAGTTAGGTTCCCTCCTCGACCTGTCTCGGTTGAACAATTCGAACAGGCCCAGCAGCTTCACGCGGCTCAGGCACCGGACTCGACTAGGACGTTGCAAGCACCGCCTTCACCTCTTGTTATGGATAGAGGTCCGGTTGGTCCCAGACCACCGGCAGCGAATCCAGAACAAGCCAGCACCGAGCAAGAAATTCCCGATAACGTAACGGCGGAAATAGAAAAACTGGAACAAGAAAACGGTACCATGACGGAATTTACCAGTGTGGGAGATATTTTGGGTTTGGATGATGATGATATGCTATTGGACGAGATGGGTGCCGATTTTAATATCTTGGAGTATGCCGATCCAGAGTTGGAAACCTTTGCTGGCGATAAAACCAATATCCTTTTGGATTTGGAGTTGGATGAGGTGTCGGACAAGAAAGAAAAAGTTAACAACAAGACTACGGGACAGGCAGTACTACCAACACCGCCAGTGTCTTCAGCAAACGGAAAAGGTAAGTTATTGTTTTTATTTTTGGGAAAAATGATTTTTGTGACTATTGGGGGTTTGCACATTTTTTGCAACGATTTAGTTCTTGAATTTTATTTACAATTAAAAACACAATAATTCACCATGATCACTTAAATAAAATACACACACTAACGTAACTATATAAGCATATAAGCGTTGAGTTTCCTAATCAATGATACAAGGAATAATAAATCAAAATCGAGTACTAAACCAAAGTTTTTAAGATTTTACTTGCAACGCAAAACACAAATAACGTGCGCGATGTAGCTGTACTTTTGAAAAAAAAAAATTGTCAAATGTATTGTTGACAATTCTTGAATTGACACAGTGCTATGGAACACCACCAGAAGGCGCGCGCGTTTCGAAAACTCGATACGCCTTTAGCGTATATTTTAATTTAAAACTTTTAGCCCAGAAATTAAGTGAATACTAAATATGTACAAACGTGATTATAAAAGTGATGAACGAAATATATACAGGGTATCAAGAAAAGGTCGCACCCACGGTTTACCACGTTATTTTAAATTAAATTTGAAAATGCAGTGTTTTTACTTTTTTCAAAAAGCTCAAACTTTAATTAAATTTCAATAAAAATTCTTAAAAAATTAAATTTAATTTTTATACCTTTATAACTTAAAAACAATTTGCCAAAAAAAAATTGTAATTAAAGTTTAATTATTAAACTCCCATATAAAAAAATATTTTTTAAGTTATCAGTAAATTTTGTAAATTGTAGTTTTCTTCCAAACTGTGCTGTAAATTACAGCCTGTAATATTTATAAGCCTATCATATAAAGGGTGGGCCATGTTTATGTTGAATTATAAAATAGCAATGAGAACAAAAAAAAACTGTTTTTTTTTCAACAAATTTTTCTTTATTCGCTACAATGTTTCTTCCGATTAAATATGGAAAATGATTTCATTTCGGCTGGCTCGGCAGTAGCCCATCCTGGAACAACAATTTTCGAGCACTTGGTCAAAAGTTTGCTGCCCTATTTGGGCAATTTGAGGTTGAATGTTTTGTTTTAAGTGGTGAATTGTTTGAGGATTGTCCGCAAAACTTTATCCTTCAATGCACGCCAAAGAAAGAAATCAAGTGGTGTTAAATTGCAGCTCAGGGGTGGCCAATTGACATCTCCGAAACGGCTAATTACACGATTGTTAAATTTTGTGCGCAAAAGGTTGATGGTGCGCGTGGCGGTGTGGCAAGTTGCACCGTCTTGTTGAAACCAGACCTCATCAAGATCGATATTTCCCAATTCCTGACACAAAAAGTCAGTTATCATATCTCAATAGTGGTCACCATTGACCGTAACGGCGAGGCCAGCCTCATTTTCGAATAAAAAGGGTCCAATTACGCCGCCACTCCAAAATCCACCCCACACAGTGACTCGAACTGGATGCATGGGCTTCGTTACGGCGACATGTGGATTTTCCGTGCACCAAATCCTACAGTTTTGCTTGTTGACATATCCTCCGAGATGAAAATGCCGAAAAGATGATTTTTCTTGCAAAATTAGGGTCATCGTTCAACTGGTTTAAAGCCCACTCAGCGAAGCGAAAATGTTGTGGATGGTCAACTTGATTTAAATCCTGAACGAGCTGGATTTTGTACGCAAACATACCGAGGTCTTTGTGCAGAATCCTCCTCAGAGTGGCACGGGAAAGGACGAGTTGTTGCCATCTTCGCCGAGTTGATGTTGACGCGTTCACGCGCACATTTTTGGCCACAGCATCGATTGCTTCAGGTGTACGTAGGACGAGCATGCGAAACATGTTTTATGTCCACCAGCATTCCACTTCTGCGCACTTTATTGATAAAATTTGTAATTCCTTGGTTTAACGGCGCCTCATTTCTTTCAAACTTTTTACGCATTTTTCTTGCCGTATCTGGGATCACAGAGTCACACTCAAAGTAAGTTTTGAGTATTAAAACCCCCCCATAACCCAAAATTATCTTATCTTATTGTATTATCTAAATTTAAATAAATTTCAAATAATTAATAAACTGTTATTGTAATGTTTTTAATTGAAAAAAGACTTTTTTTGTTAATGCAAGCTCCCAATTTCAGCATCAACAACAGTTCCACCAACGCAAACACAGCCACCTCTTAACAATATACCACAACCGCCTCCACAACAGCAACAGGCGCCACCAACTTTGGGGGCTCCCCCTCCACAACAGCAATTAATTCAGCAGACCCAACAACCTCCACCAATTCAGGTCCCAGGTCTTCCACCTGCCTCATTACATCACCTGACCCCCCAACAAATACAACAGCAAATGATGCACCAGGTTGGTTGACCCATCTTGTAAACAGTTTCTCTTTTATTAAATTTTTTCCGTGTTGATCATCTCACAGGTTCAACAAGCCGCCAATCAAGGTAGACCCATGCCACCTGGGTCTAGATTACAAACACCAGATGGTATTATCGGAATTGTTAAGTCCAATAATACTGTACATTTGCAAGTGCCTCATAATTATCAGCAGAGGCTATTAATGCAACAACGTAAGTTTGTATATGGTTAAATTCTACAATAAATTAATAAATTGTTTATCTTAGTTCAAAATCAAAAACTTCAAATGAGAATAACTCAGAAACCAGGACCTCGGATGGTTGCGGTGAACCAAGCCGGTCAACAGGTGGTACATCATTCAATGGGTTTGCCGGCGGCGCCAGCGCCCAGGATGCCAGTTAATGCCCCTCCACCGCCGCCGCCTCCGTACCCTGGCCCACCTCCACCGTATCCTGGAAACGCCACACCTCAACAACAACCTCAGGTATACTTAAACGCATGATAACCACTGGCTAGTCTTTCGCATGACACGATTTTTTGATGTTTTTTTGATGTTTTTTATTATTTTTTTGTTTACTACTAATTTCAAACTTATTTAAAACAATCTCGTCATTTGTATTTAATTAATAAAAAAATTGTTTTAAGTATGTCACATTTTATATACTCATAATTAAAAAAAAAAAACTACTATTAATACTACCGCAATTGCAATTTTTAAAAGCGTTCCAAGAGATAATATGGTCGAAATGCCAAAAAAATTAAATAAAACATTTTAAAAAATTTAATTCGAGATGTTTTTAAAATAATTTTGTTAATTTTCTATCGACCACACTTTTCATAACAGAGTTAATAAGAAAGACTTCAAGTTAACAAGCATTCAACATTCATTAACACTAAAAGTATTTTTCTGGATTCTTACTGTGTTCAGAACAATTGCGGCCGATATGTTTTATATGGTCTTACATGATCTACATCTACTATCAGTTTTATATGGTCTACAATACAAAAACTATAATTAGGAATTTCACCAAATACATTTTTTGCACCCCGCGGATTTTTTTAAAATTAAAAATGATTTTTCGAACTTTGACCAATTAATGTTTCATAAAAATATAAATAGTACTGTTCTTTTGTAAACAATTCTTAACTATTCAATTCATTCTTTATTATAGGTAACGGAAGACCCTCAAAAATTAAATTAAAGTGAAAAATGTGATTTTTCTGGCCTTGCAGTAATTTTTATTTCAAATTTGATAGTTTTTTCGGAAAGCTGAGAATTTTTAACATAAAATATGTAATTTTCACGATGGGTTTATTTTTTATTTTAATACAATTAAATATGAAAGTAATAACAATTATTGTAAATCATTTTTTTTAATTACTAAAGTTATACATCTGTCAAATTAACGCCAATATATTGTCTAATATTCGTACGAGAGCTAGCAACGTCGGAAAAACAAGAATTTTAAGAAAGCTGATTCTTTAATATATATAGCAGCAATTTGTGCCCGAACTTGGGCACGACACTTTTTGTTTCCAAATTGTTTCGACACAAATCGGAAAACTTATGTCTAAATGGAAACTGTGTCCATTCTTCAAATTTGTGGTTGCTTTGGGTCGACACCTTGTGTCCAAAAAAAGTATGGGTCTAAGTAGCATTATTTCAGAAATATGTGCCCAAGTTGCGTCGCTTTTGTGCCCTCTTGGAAACAGTAACACAATTTAGGCTCATTAGGGTCGACACTTAGTCGACTCAATGTTTCCATATTGTACCTTATCAATCTGTTTCCATTTTATTACCAAATTGAGTCAAGTGGACGCAAAAGTTTCCATTTAGCTGCATTTTAGATTCATGGTGTCTGATTTGTTTCAAAAATGTGTGGGGCGGGCGCATTAGGTTCCAAAGGGACACATTGTGTAATTCGCCATATTTTTTTGTTGAAACAGATTCGACGCTTTAATTTTTTTACATAATTTAACTTTCTGGTGAAATTTAAACTTAAAATTTAAAAAATGCAATGTTTTAAGTTACTATAGAAGGCACATACGTCTAGTTTTGATAAAAATATAGGAAAAAAAAAATATTTTTAATAAATAAAAATTATAAATACTTATTATTTGTGAGGCCCTATCAATTTTTAAAAGTATTTTGCTTATAATCACCAATAAAATTTTGTTCGCAATAAAAATGAAGGTAACATATACCAAAAATGTTAGATTTAAGTTATAATGTATTTCATAATATTATATTATATACATAATTATTAATAAGACATCACGCCTTACTTTGTCTCTTTGTATCTAGTTTGTTTCCAATTCGTTTCCAATTAAAAATAGTTAGTGTCCATTTGGGTTTATTTTAGGACACAATACAGTACTTTGGCAACAATTCAGAACAAATGGTGACCATTTGGTAACATACAAATTAGAAACTCTTTGGGCATAAATCGGTCACACTACCGGGCACATTGTGGGCAAATTTTAAGAAAAAATCGGGCACATTTTGTGGGCAAACCATGGACACTTTTTGGTACAACTTTCATCACCACTTTGGTCTCATTTTCCACACTTAGTGGTCTTAAAGTGGACTATGTGTCTTTAAAATGTGTCGTGTCCAAAATCATGTTTCGACGCTGTGTCGACACATTGCCCAAAATGTGTCATTCTTTGCTGCTTATATATCTTTTCCTATGCTCTCTCGAACATTGTGTGGGCTACCTGGCTGCCGATAAACGTTGCGTTTATTACTGCGCATCACACCTTTACAGGTAAAAATATTGAATTTTAAATAATTTTAAGACATTCTTTTTCTTTTTTACTATTTTTTAAACACTATTAGAAACATTAGTTTCTTATTGCCAGACATTTTTGTTATTGACAATAATGTACCAGATGCTATTTTTATAAACAAAAAAAAAATTAATTTCAAACCATTTTAGTATGGCTGTAATTTTAATATTATTTTATTTATATATAAATAAGTATAAAATTAATTTGCCAGACATTAATTTGGTTGTGTACTCAACAACCAGACCGATTTATTGCTGTAGAGTACCGCTGCATTATGTCAGTTGTTAAAGAGAGACAGCGGCAAAGTAGATAGGCGGAAGAGAGTCAGGAATACATCACGCTGTTAAAAGTACTCAAAGTAATTTTTTATTTTTAATTCTTCGATTATAAAAATAATAAAATATTATTATCAATATAATAAAAAATAGCTTAATAAATTATTTATAAAAGACAATTACGTTATTTTGATATCAAAATTTGGCAAAATTAACGCATTAACTCTAAAACGCCTTTACCAATTTTTATGAAAATTCTTCAACTTATACCTATCTCAGTTTACATGTTCAAAGGTTTTTCGAGAAAATATTTTTAAAGCCCTTTTATTTAATAATGAAAAACGCTTGAAAAAAAAACTTTAAAGGGAAATTTTTTTGAAGTTAATAAAAAATATGCTGTGAAAGACCGTATTTTTGTTAGTATACCCTAAAAATGTTATACAAATCAAACGAACAGTAACGAAAATAAGTCGTCAAAAATGACCATTTTTCAGCAAAATAATCAAAAAGGGGTCATTTTGAAGCGCTGTGTCTTCATTACTGTTCGTTTAATTTGTACAAAATTTTCAGAATATACTAACAAAAATACAGCATATTTTTTATTAATTAAAAAAATCCCTAAAAGTTATTTTAATAATTTTGACAGTTCTGACATTTCTCTACCAAACATGAATTGACTAAATCAAAGCCATCTAAATTTTAAATTATAAATAAAACTAACAATATCGCTTAACTGCATTAAAAAAATTATTATATCTTTTACATGGATAAAAATAACAAAACAAGACTAACTAGACTGAAAAGATGAAGGTGGGGACTAAATTTCCTGAAAGTTTCAGATTTTAAGTTTTTCCTCAACATAATGATTTTTGAGGGCAAAATTGGCTAACTTTGAAAATTATCAAGTTTCAATAATTTTTTTAATAAAGAAAATGATAGTCTAGAAACTTAAAATAATAGTTACGTTTTCTATTGTATGAGTACTTGATACCTGAAAAAAAATAACTTTCTAGATTTAGTAGAATAGGCACAGAAGCCAGACAAAAATCACAAAAATTTGCAAATTATCATGAATCTTTAGTGGTTTACCATTCTTTTATGAGATTAAATAATTGGATAATAATAATTTATATCAAAAACACACTTAATGAACAGTAAAACAAAATTAAAATCATTTCAATATTTGTCACAAAAAAAGTTCTGGCCCACTATAAGAGAGTAAGAAATTGACACAATTTCAGATTTCTAAAGGGTGCCGATTAAAAATAAAGAATCCAAAAATTAAAACGGCACCGGATTTTCATATTTGAATGACTCATATATTTTGTATAAAAAATCTTCAACTTATCGAGGGTTTTTTGAGAAAATATTTTTAATAAAAAAAACTTTCGAAAAATAACTTTTAGGGATTTTTTTTAATTAATAAAAAATATGCTGTTAAAGACCGTATTTTTGTTAGTATATTCTGAAAATTTTGTACAAATTAAACGAACAGTAATGAAGACACTTCAAAGCTTCAAAGTCGCTAAAAATTACCCCTTTTTGATTATTTTGCTGAAAAGTGGTCATTTTTGACGACTTTGGGGCGCTATATTTTCGTTACTGTTCGTTTGATTTGTACAACATTTTTGGGGTATACTAACAAAAATACGGTCTTTCACAGCATATTTTTTATTAACTTCAAAAAAATTTCCCTTTAAAGTTTTTTTTTCGAGCGTTTTTCATTATTAAATAAAAGGGCTTTAAAAATATTTTCTCGAAAAACCTTTGAACACGTAAACTGAGATAGGTATAAGTTGAAGAATTTTCATAAAAATTGGTAAAGGCGTTTTAGAGTTAATGCGTTAATTTTGCCAAATTTTGATATCAAAATAACGTAATTTTTCCCTGTCTTTTATAAATAATTTATTAAGCTATTTTTTATTATATTGATAATAATATTTTATTATTTTTATAATCGAAGAATTAAAAATAAAAAATTACTTTGAATACTTTTAACAGCGTGATGTATTCCTGTCTCTCTTCCGCCAATCTACTTTGCCGCTGTCTCTCTTTAACAACTGACATAATGCAGCGGTACTCTACAGCAATAAATCGGTCTGGTTGTTGAGTACACAACCAAATTAATGTCTGGCAAATTAATTTTATACTTATTTATATATAAATAAAATAATATTAAAATTACAGCCATACTAAAATGGTTTGAAATTATTTTTTTTTTGTTTATAAAAATAGCATCTGGTACATTATTGTCAATAACAAAAATGTCTGGCACTAAGAAATTCATGTTTCTAATAGTGTCTAAAAGTTAGTGAAAAAGAAAAAAAATCTCTTAAAATTATTTAAAATTTAATATTTTTACCTGTAAAGGTGTGATGCGCAGTAATAAACGCATCGTTTACCGGCAGCCAGGTAGCCC